TAAAAGTTCATGTAGATTGAGATCAGTTGGGTCACTGGTGGCCAAAAACACACTGATGGGCTCTAGATTTTCCCTCCATACCATAACAGTGATAGCGTCTGAATATCCACTGTCTATTTACTCTGTAATAATTAGTATCAATTATAACATGGTTATTGGTGTTACCTTTTAAAGGTCCAGTGTGTAGGATTTAGGGGGATGCATTGGCAGAAATAACATAAAGTATAATAAGTGTGTTTTCTTTAATGTATAATCACCTGAAAATAAGAATCACTGTGTTTTCATTACCTTAGAATGAGCCGTTTTTATCCACCTATGGAGCAGGTCCTTATCCATGGAGATCGCCATGTTGTACAGCCATGTTTCTACAGTGGCCCAGAACGGACAAACCAAACATTGGCTCAAGATACAGCCATTTGTATAAAAAAACACAGATTTTTCTTTATTTTATTTTTTTTTACATGAAACTGATTCATTTAGTGTTTTAACCTGTTTAAATCACTTGTTCCCTTTGTTTTCGGCTCCTGGTAAAAACAGCCTAAATGCCTCGACCTAAAGTTATCAGAGATAAAAGGTGAGCGCACATTGGGCTAGCTGTCCATCCCTGACATGCCAGGCAATATTAAAGAAACAGTGTTTAGTAATGTGAAACTGCTTTACTTAGTGTTTTTACTGGTCTCCACAGTTTATGTAATTTTATGTCACGGTAATGGCATATGTCACAATACAATAATTGTTCTGTAAATAAAGAATTGGTTTAAAATAACCATACTTCATCACTTTGGGTTTTTATCTTCTTTTATTTGGAGTTTTCATACAAACAAAAGAACAACTGCCTCACATGAGACAACACTTCAAAAACAAAAAGATTAAAAAAAAGTAAGACTAAAATTCTTACAAAATTGAAGCTTTAAAGTTCTTGACAACAATATTTCCGGTGTTACAGGTTTTTGTATTTACAACTTTACCCTCCCCCTAAATGTCTGCCCAAACACATTACCGTGCGAGGCAACTAGATTCTCAATATGACGCGAGAATCCAGTCCCAATTTGCCACCTAGCTTGTCACGAATTGCTCCAGTGGTACTGTAGAAATAGTTTTGCCAAATCCCTGCCACTCACACTTTTATTACACATTTCTTGCATTGCTCAGTGTATACTGTCATTTCACCCAACCCTACTCTGTGTGGTTTTCCATCCTGGTCATCAGGAGCTAGAAGATTTTTGCTTGAACCCTGAGGACCAGGAGTCAAAAACATAGACCTATAGAGCCTAGACTTTAAATGTCTTTTGTGCATGTACATGTAAATGGGCAGGTGTCTTTAACTGTGTGCCATATGGATTAATTGTCTCCATTCTCCTTTATTACAACTACTTTGATTTTATTATCTAAATTGTAGTTTCCTCTGAATAAAGATAACACTTACTGAATTGGAGGGAGCAGCCATTTAGTATTGTACTATCACAAAGTTGGTGGGACTTAGAAGAGAAAGATTCAAAAACAAAAAAAGTCAAAATCAAAGCAACTTGACTTCTCTAGTGTGGGTAACACTCTAGAAAGGCTAGATCCTACATTTCCCATAATGCAACCCAAAAGCATTTTTCATAAGACCCTTCATACCTCCTGTTTTCCGACTTCTTGTAAACACCACAACTCCAGTTTTTAAGACAGACTTTCTGCTAATAACATTGAGATTTTTAGCATGTTGTGCTGTTTCAGTGTATGATTAAGAAAGTGACCTACCGTCGATGTTTTGAGACTTCCTGTTGAGAGAAGAGCGGTGAATCAGGGTGTTTTTCTCTCCACAGCTTTAAGCTTTAATGATGGCTGCCCCGTTGTGGGCTTGATGGGCCATAGCACTGTCCTCCTCATTCCTCTGTGAGTTGTGTGTACGCAATTCAGAATCTTTGCACTGTGACCTCGGAGAACATACAGAAAATATGCATCTCGCACACACGCACACTAACACACACACACACACACACACACACACATATCCCCCAGGCTTTGAAGATTAAATGAGTCTTCAACACATACAGTTAAATTAGCACAGCTGGAGAGAGGGTGTCAGCAGGATGCTATGTATGCAAGTGATGTATTTATAAAAAAAGAAACTGGGCCTCGTTCGGCTCCTTATGAAGCTGCCTCTCGCTGCATTAATCACTTTATCCTGCGATGGCAAAGCCACTTCAAATAGGGACACAAGATTTGCACACCAACTCTCATCTTAATGAGCAGAGGAGATGAGTGTTTGTCTGGCAGATGTGTGCAAGTGTTGCCCCTTCACATGCTGCCATCAAAGAGAAGTACAAATAAGTAATTGACCCTGTCTCCCTTTTGGATGTGCAGCTGTGTTGTTGGGAAAACTGCAGGCTTAGATTAGAGCTACATGGATCTTACTTTTTAATCTCAGATACAGCAAGCGAAAATCCTGCAATTGATTCTCGTGTTATATTTCTTTGAAACAAGTATGCCATGAGCGTTCAGATATTGCCACAAAGACTTCACACACTCCTAGTTTGTCTGGGTTAACCGCTCGTGGAGGAGGGAATGGGGTTGAGAGTGTGATGGAAGAAAGAACATAAGGTGGGGGCTGGAGGAGAGGCCTTGCTTTAACAAGCTTATCTCGCTCCCTAATTCAGTTTGGGCCATCAAAGTGTTGAGAGCCGGCGTCGCTAGGGGCGGTTGTATTTTTTGACCGCTACCTGTGACAGCAATTACAGGTTCCCCTTCAAGCCTGCCTTTGTTTTTGTGGCAAACTTGACTGCTTGGGTAGAACGAGATTACCTCAACGTTCTGCGACTGGAGGATAATCAAAGCCTCACAATGCAAGGTGTCATGCCCCTCTAAATCAACCAAGCAGCCCCTGCCACTGTTCCTTTCTGCCCTCCTTTATCCAGCAGGATGCTGTGACATTATTGTAATAATAACAGAGCTGTTGTTTAAAGGTATTCCTATACATCACAGGAAAGTATTCCACACAGTCAGACACGGAAATGAGCATCACTTTACACCCAAATAGAAGCAGAGGCTGCTTCCATTTAAGAAACTTCATAAATAGTGTATTCACAACAAATGAAGCATGCATACATACTGTGCAGCATTTGCATAATTGCATACCTGTAACCACAGCATTGTTAAAAGTAAAATTATGTCTGCACGCAAACTTAAATGCCTGTTGTCCCACTTTCATTTGCTTAACATCTCACAAATGGAGAACTGGGAGTTTATCCACTTGGATGCCTTTTTAGAAAGCCAAGAGTTTGCTTTGTACTCGCTAAGGCATGGCTTTGTCCACATGTGTGTCAGGACCCGGCTCTTTGCCTGCTTATGTACACAGCAGGGGGTCTGCATTTAAGAAGACCTGTCTAATACCCAGGGAGCAGGCCTCAATCTTAAAACAGCTGGAAGGAAAGAGAAGCTCTTGAGTGGGGTCTAAACATCATGAGAGATGTAACCTCTGAGTGAGCTTATTCACATCACTGCTCAGGAAAAAAAAGGCTCAGGGTTTGTAACATATTGCAGGCGATAAACGTGTGGCGCGATGTGCTGAGATGCACAGTGGTGTTCTGCAATGTGTCAAGACTGGGAGGTGGAATGAAACTGAGCCATAACTCATGCATTCAGTTTGTTTGCTTATTTGCTTAATCTATGCAGGGCTCCTTTTTAGGATCTGTCAGAGCCGTGTGACTCAGTATATGTTGGCCTATGACCAGGCCAATTAGTTTGATGTATGGTTGCCTCAATGTTGTGTATATTCAGCAAAATGAATAAATCTGCATGCGCATGTTTTTCTCCCTTTTGCTCTCTCTGTTCTAAATTTTGCCACTATCTTCCCATGTGACGGCAAAATGCCAAGTCGCACACTGTTTTTCATCCTGTATTGACGGCGAAACGGTGCTGCACAGATGTATGTGATAAGCCAGACAGTTTTACAATGACATTTCGGCTATTAGCATTTAAAGGGTTGGAAATCCGGAAGGCAGCGCTATCAATTATTTACATCTTCTTACATTAGTATAAAACAACATGCTCTTTCAAAGAAAGTGAATCTTTTGGGAAGCTATGGAAAATTCACACCCTGTATTTGTCTTTTTTTTTCAATATTTACAAGTATTAAAGGTTTTTTGTTGTATACAAAACAGCAATAAACATTTGGTTGAATGTGCTACAGAGATGTAAAGGTTCCTTTTAAGCGGAGAAAGATTTCCATTATGTGGAAAGAACACTAACATTACACAACACCTGCTGCTTTAGTCTTATGAAAGCTCAGTGGGAGGGACATGTTTTATAATACTGTCCTTTATTAAAATAAAAGCTGTATTTTCACACTGCACTGTAACGCCCATGTCAGTAGGTTACGTCTTCTGCTTAGCTTTAGATACATCACATACATACATACACATACATTATTCATTTAACATAATTAATATGGTGGAAAAGTTCTACTTAGAAAAAAGCTTGACCTGTTTAAGACATTATAGCTATTTTCCTGAACCACAGTGAACCAGGTAAATGTGTTGGAGCTCTGGTACATTTTAGGGTTCATCTTAACTATGTTCTAAATCTTAACCCAACAATTTTGTGTACTTTTCTCAATAATGAAGCATCACTGAATCCTAAAATGTCAGTATAAGTGACAGTTTGTGTGTTTACTGCATCACATCCCAGCGTCGTAAATTGTTTGCAACAAATGAGAACCTATTAAAAATTAACCCAAATGGATCAGTCCGGGTCTCAGAAGCTGCTGCGGCGTGCGATTTCTGTTTTGCTGAGGCGAGGTTGTGGACTTAGCCTTGTTGTTCAATATTCTGTGAATAATTGAAACTGACATTTTGCACCCAGTGTCTTTATACAGCAAATCCACCGATGACATCAGAGGGGGGAAAAAGATGCTGACTAAATTGTGAAAATGTAGCGTCTCTGACACTTTTTCATCAGCTTAGTTCCTCGAGATGTATCATTATACTTTATTAATCTATGTTTCCTTCCTCTTTCAGGTGGATTTGCTCGTGCCCACCAAGGTCACAGGCATCATCACCCAGGGAGCTAAAGACTTTGGCCATGTGCAGTTTGTTGGCTCATACAAACTTGCGTACAGCAACGACGGGGAGCGGTGGAATATATATCAAGATGAGAAACAGGGGAAGGACAAGGTAAGAAGCTCACACAGCCCATAATAACCACAATCAAAGACAAACTGCACAGTCTTAAGCCACGTCTACAACATATTAACTGACAAAACTGTGTATAGTTGTCATGTACACACAGCAATCATACTGAAAAATACTGTAGAATCATAAAAGTGTGTCTTTGGGAACAGTGAGTACTGTGAGTTTTGAATTATATATCACATCACGAAGCAGAGGGGCATTCTGGGTAGAGAGAGTCAGCACAAAAATTCACAGGTGGTACAGAAACCTGAAGCAGCCGAAAACATAATGCTGCAAATGTCAAAAACTTTCTTTTCAGTATTGAGTGTGAAAATGTCCATTTCAGGACCTGTCTTTTTCTCCCTTCCACTTCCCTTTAGCTTCGTCTTATCTGCGGCTCAAACTGAGCTTGCCTGGTTTGTTCTACCGCCTCTCTCTGGTTTGAGATCAGATAAGACTGTGCTGTCAACCTGGCCTGGCCAGAGCTATGCTGAAAATCTTGTTTACGGCCCTTCAACAGAGTACATGTCCATTCCAATCGCCCACGACAACAGACAGAGCAGGGCTGCAGCAGCCTCTCCGCTGATATCAGGAGAGCTGCAGGCGCAGGGTTACAGCTAAAGCTGAAGCCCCTTGTCTTTCAGATACTGGTGGCAGGAGAGGTAGTGTTTACTTTTCTCTCTTGCCTTGTTATTGAAAGATAAGCCCGGCTTGTTCTGCTTATTCATGTAGTCTGGTGTGTTGACTATAGAAAATCAGGACACTGACATCTAGTAGAATTCATACATGTAATTCGCACAGTGCAAATACTGCAGACGTGCATGTAATCACTCGTTATTATACACTGAGGTTATGATGTATTGTTTAAATACTGTATAATCTGTTCTTTTCTAATATGTGGTGTAATTTAAACTGTCATTTATGTCTTGAGCATAATTCAAAATATTTCAGATTGTATAAAGAATGCATGAATCAAAATCCAACTATTAAAATGTGTGTCTCCAGTGTGTAGGATTAAGGGGCATCGGTTGGCAGAAATTAATTATAATATTCCTAACCATGTTTTCATTAGTTTATAATCACCTACAAATAAGAATGGTTGTGTTTTCATTACCTTGGAACAGGGGTCACGTTAATATTCTCGGTCACTGACCGTTTTTTTACAACAATGACCGGAAAATCTGAAAGCCGGTTGCAATTACCACCCCTGCCCACTTGGCGGCGGAGTGCACAGTCAGTGGTTTAAGTGGCTGCCGTTTTCACACTGCAGAGAAAAAGTCATTCATCGCCTTCATGTAGCGTTGTTGACATAACGCCCTGGACACACCGGACACTGAACCGAAGCACGGCGCCCAGCAGCGGAGGCAGTTTTCAGTCAAAAGGTGAGATGGTGGGGTCACTGCTGCTGCTCACTGTATGTGCTTATGTTGCATAGAGATGATACACCATCTCACCTTTTTACATCGGTGTGAACCAGCAGGTTTTTAGAACGTTGCAGAACGGCGCATTGCAAGCAGTTGCCTGTTTCAACTCGTCTCATCACAAATCTTTGGTCTGAGCTGGGCATTAAAGATGGGGTAGGCAGTTTAATTTTGGCATCATTAGGCAAAAATGCCGTGATAACCGTTGAGCATATTGTAATTCAAGTGGTCTGAGAGACTTCTGCACCTCGGCTTGGATCTGTTTTCAGACCATGACGGGAGACTTCAGCCAGTCACAGGCCATTTTCAGAGAGCGTGGCTGTCAATCAATGCAATCAGTAATTGACATGATTNCTGTTCATCTTTTCGTTCATGTCCTTATTAATGCACACTTTATAACTTGCTTGTTGGATTTATTAAAAACGAACAAATGAAAACTAAATGTCTTTTAATTTTCATTTTTAAATAACAATAAAGATATTCAAATGACCGGTAAAAATAGATTATGGCCGGATTTTTATGACCCTGTTGGTCAAAATGACTGGTGATGAAAAAGTCTAACACAACATCTGCCTTGGAATGAGCTTTTAGATCTGCATAATGAGCGGGTCCTCTTTCACAGAGTCCGCCATGCTAGTCTACAGCAGCCCAGAACACACAAATCAAACACAGGCTCTAGATAGGGCCAGTCACGTTTCCGTATCGACCACCATAGTTCTCCTACACACAATCTGCAACCTCACAGCTAGATGCCACTAAATTCGACACACTGATCCTTAAAGCTCAGCTCAGACCGATAATTAGTGACAAATCGAAAGTTGCAGAGAAAAGTTGCAGCGATGTGAACTGGCCCGTTTGAGATCGACTCAAGGCAGCTGATGGTGTCACCTGCAACTCTGCTGTTCAAATCGCTGAGTAGCAGCTGGTTATAGAACGTAAAGCTTGTCACCTGTTTCTACAGCCAATCGGCTTGTAGTGAAGTCTGCTACGTGTTCGCTCGCTGCAGGTGCTCTGTCCCCGCCAAGCCCTCTGTTTCCATCCCCATGGTGTGCAGGTCAGACGGTGGGGTCACTGCTGCTGCTCACTGTATGTGCTTATGTTGCATAGAGATGATACACCATCTCACCTTTTTACATCGGTGTGAACCAGCAGGTTTTTAGAACGTTGCAGAACGGCGCATTGCAAGCAGTTGCCTGTTTCAACTCGTCTCATCACAAATCTTTGGTCTGAGCTGGGCATTAAAGATGGGGTAGGCAGTTTAATTTTGGCATCATTAGGCAAAAATGCCGTGATAACCGTTGAGCATAATGTAATTCAAGTGGTCTGAGAGACTTCTGCACCTTGGCTTGGATCTGTTTTCAGACCATGACGGGAGACTTCAGCCAGTCACAGGCCATTTTCAGAGAGCGTGGCTGTCAATCAATGCAATCAGTAATTGACATGATTGACAGCTGTGTTAGAGACTCCTCAGATCTGACTGGTTGTTTTCATGATTTGTGCATAAGCCATTATGAGCACTATGAGGAGGCAGAGGAGCATGATTTTTTTCAATTTATTTATTTTTTTGTAAAAAATACTGACAGTTAGCCTATATAAAATAACTTTTGTCATATTTGCAAAAAAAAAAAAAAAAAGCAATCACTGCTTTAATTGAAAGAGTTTTGTTTTGCCTAATACTGTGTGACCAAGTGTAAAAGTTTGCATAGATAATTCAAATTTCAGTGCCTTCAGACAATTATTTTGCCTAGTATTTGATTTATAATGAAGATAAATTGATTTAGATTGTGCTACATTTGATCTTTAATACACATTGACACACATTCATTTATTCATGCAAATTATTTCACCCAAAAATAATAATCCAATATGAAAGCACTGGCAGATTGTTTTCTAATGGCTTGCAATCCTTTAGTCTTTAATTTGCAGTCATACTCGATTTCATAGTTCAACTGCAGTCCATGCCCTGCAGTCTGTGCACATGAAAGCATCAGCTATGATGTCGGGTTTTCTCATAAAAACTGATGCTGAGCAGAGGTTATGTGAGAACTTCGACTGGCATTTCAAAATTAGATTTTTTTTTTTTTTCAAAGGACAGGATTTTTATTTTCTTTGGCTCAGTGTAGTCGACCTAAATCTGAAATGTGACAGCACCTTGTTAAGGCAAATAACACCCCTCAATAGCCAGATGTCAATTTACGCCTTTATCCTTGCTGCGCAGCCAGTGCACCAGCCATTGCACCAGCCAGTGCCTGGAAATATTTTTCCATCTGTGCAGTTCACATTCTTTGCTTGAGGAGTTTATAATTTCAACACCCACAATGATCTTTGGATATGGGCCACTGCATGCTCAGCATGACTTCCACCCAAGCAATCTCAATACTGAGCACTGGATGACTTCCGAAGGCCTGGCAAGCATCATCTGGAGATAGCAAAGGGGAGGAGAGAAAACTACTGGAGATATCTCAGGAACTTTTCATGTTTATTATGTTTTATTTTTAAATATCATTTTCAGGAATAACTCAGTTGGAGCGCTACTTTCGTCAACCTACACGTGGATTTAAAATATCTTTAAACTAAGCCATATTCATAACCATCCATAGCCCCCCGTGATGATATTGCTTGTATAAGACAGAGCAAAACCAAGGATAGGCAGTCAATCTGAGTGTGTGTGTGCTCTGTATTAGAGGGCAGGCGTGTTTAGCAAGGCTTCTGAGAATGTCAATCAGTTTGTCCCCAGACGGAGCCAAGGGGCTGTTCAGATGTGTGATTCTTCAAGGTGTTTTCCCCCTTCAGTCAGCTGAAGCAGCCATTAATGCTAGAGGACACATTTGGCTGTTGGACTCCCGAGGCTCCTCCTGCCACACCACAATGCTTGACTTGGCAGGGATATACTGTGATTGTGTGTGTGTGTGTGTGTGTGTGTGTGTGTGCGTGTACGTCTGGGTGTCTGGTTCGGGCACAGTGGTAGAGGCTTGTAAGTATTCTTCTCAGCTCCCCCCTCCAGCTCCTGTGTGGCAGAGGCTGCAGGCAGTTAGATCTAGATTGAGAGAGGAGGCTCTGTCAGAATACAGATGTTGTCAAAGCAGGGCACACACACACACACACACACACACAAGCAACAGTATCCTTCTACAAAATCCATAGAGTGCCTTGTTTGCCTTTTCTGTATACACAAATCCCAAATACCTGTGTATTGCACTTGTAACTGAGACAAATAAGAACATAGTCTACTGTTTAAACATAATTAAAGTGGGATACGTTCCATGATTGTACATATCGGCTCGGCCGCATTCCCACACACACACACACTTTCCACACCTGGGTCACTACGCTGCCCAGTCCCACGCCGCTGCACTTTCCTTGGGTGTCAATATTTACACAGTCAGTTGATGGGGGGCAATCAAGCACAAAAGCCATTGATTTATGGTTAATTGTGTTTCACTCAGGTGACACAGGGGTTAATTAGCCATTAGAGTCTTCAGTGCCCTCCAGGTCAGAGGGTAACTGAATGTTAGAGAGCTAAGAACATACAATCATCTTATATATAACCACTAATAGTCAGATTTTCTTCTGCGGTCATGA